CTGAGGAAGCTGTTTCAGCTCTAGACCAGTGTTTGGCTTTTGGTGGTGACACAGAAAAGGGCCTTCTCTGTGACTCCTCCCAGACTTTGGAACTCCCTCCCACAGGAGGCCAAACTGGCCCCATGTTTGCTGTCCTTCTGCAAACAGGCATAGACCTTTCTCTTCAGGCAAGCCTTCCCTCAGCTACCCGTGTGTGGTTTTTAGATGGATTGTTATGCATTACTGCTTTGACTGGATTTTTAGGACTACTTGTGTTTTCCATTTCTCAGAGTGGCATTTTTTCCCTTTTTAATATTTCTATACTTATTGCTCTTACCATTAATTATTGCCTTTTAATGATGTTAACCACCTTTGCTTACTCATTGTTTTCAGCTTTAAATATTGTCTTTCAGTGTTTTAAGCAGCCTTGGGTCCTTTTCGAGGAGAAAAGTGGGATAAAAAAGATTGCAAATAAATAAATAAATAAATAAATAATGCGGAAATCAGAATATTATTTTTAATTAATTTATATAATTTTTATGCTACCCTTGGTTTTTTTTTTAAAGACCCAAGCTGGCTTTCATCATTAAAAGACAATATTTAAAAGCTAAAAAGAGTCATTATACACATATCAAAACAAATACATTAAAGTGGTTAACAAAATCAACACCAAAAACAGATTCAAAGCAACAATGCACACAGCTTCATTAAAAAAAAAAGCTAAAAAATATCACTACAGTGGATCCTTGACTTACAGACGGCTTGACTTACAGACTTTTTGACTTGAGAACCAACTTCCAATACGGATTAAGTTCTCAAGTCAAGACCCCACTGTAAGTGAAAGCCTGTCTGAAGGGAAAGGTCTTTGCTTGTAGATGGACAACAAGGATTGGGCCATCCTGGCTTCCTGTGGGAAAGAGTTCCAGAGTCTAGGTGCAGTCACAGAGAAGGCCCTGTTCAGTGTACTCACCAAATGCATCTGTGGTGGTGGGACTGAGAAAGGCTTCTTCTGATGATCTTAAGTCATGGGCAGGCTCATAAAGGAATTCACAGTCCTTAAGACAGATTGGACCCAAGTTGTTTAGGGCTTTATAGTTAAAACCAACACTTCGAATTCTGCCCAGAAATGGATCAGCAGCCAGTGGAGCTGCTGAAACCAGAGGTGGGGGATGGGGTGTTATGTGATCCCTGTAACCAGCCCCAGCTACCGATCTGGCTGCAGTGTTTGGAGTCAGCTGGAGTTTCTAAGACTTTCCAAAGGCAGCCTCATGTACGTAGTTACAGTAAACCAGTCAGGATGTAACTAAGGCATTTGTCAGCAGGAGCTGCTCTCAGCTCCAGGATTATGCAAATTCTTGTTTGGTTGTGAGGATTTAGCACAAGGTTTCATTAAAATGAGGCCATGCATCACCCCAAAAGAACAAAGTACATAACAAAAAAAAGTATATAACCAAACAGAATATAAGTGTGCCATTAACTGGGATATACCCACTTTGTGTCCCACTGTTGCTGCTTTTCATTAGGCAGCTGGTACCTAATTCCAGCTCAGGGCGGTGGCACTGCAGGTTAAACCGCAGAAGCCTCTGTGCTGCAGGGTCAGAAGACCAAGCAGTCGTAAGATTGAATCCACGTGACAGAGTGAGCGCCCGTCACTTTGTCCCACTCCCGCCATCCTAGCAGTTCGAAAGCATGTAAATGCAAGTAGATAAATAGGTACCCCCCATTGGGGGAAGGTAACGGCGTTCCGTGTCTAGTCTTGCTGGCCATGTGACCACGGAAACTGTCTTCGGACAAACGCTGGCTCTACAGCTTGGAAACGGGGATGAGCACCACGCCTTAAAGTCAGACACGACTGGACTAAATGTCAAGGGGAACCCTTACCTTTACCTTTACCTAATTCCAGATATGTGAAATTAGCTGGAGCCTCACATCATGTTCTTTCTAACTGCTGCTTCTTCAATATTGAGTGTGGGACTCTTAAGTCATTCTAAAACAAAGAGCAGCATTTGACTTGGATCAGGACGAGACAAGGAGGATTCACCTCTTCCCAACAGTGTGTGTCTAAAATGAAAATCATTCACTTCTCTACCTACCACAAGGTTTGCTAGCGCTGAAGTACTGTATTCTGGTATTTCCTCTTAATATGGCAGTACAAAGCAGGCACCGCTTTTCTGGTAAAGCTTATGTCTGTTTGCTGCTTTTAGAAGTTATTGGGGAGGCACAAAACTTCATATTTTCCACAGTGAGTTTCTGATTTGGGCATGAATGAAGCACGTAGTCTCCAAACCAGCCCAACCTGACCTGGGCCATTTTGTGAATCACTGAAGCAGGAGCCAAATCTTGTGATTGGTTTATGTCCTGACAACACAGAAGGCAAATGAAAAAAATATTGGAAGCTTTTTTGTTACTAGGGAAAAACAGTGTCCTACTGCATCACCCTTCCTATTTATTTTAATTTGGCTGCTGAAAAAAAAAGTGTAAAAAAAAATCACATAGTGTTCAAGTTTGCATCTGCTTCTCTGTGCGGTAATGCACCCCAAATCCATATAAACAAATGTGCTAAACAGATATATGTGAATCCAAAATGTCTTGTTCTATTTTATGTCACACAACACACAGGAACTTGACCTGCAGGGGTTTTTCCCCACTTCCCTTCTCAAATATTATTTCCTAGATTACTGCTTAAAAGAAAACATGCACTCACAGCAGCAGCCAACAAATTGTGAAATGATGCCCATATTAGATTAATCTGAACATATTGCACTGTAAGACATAAAAAGAGCCATTTCACATCTACACCTTACTCTAAATACTGCTTGTATACGCTTCAAAAAACTAAGAATGTTAAATATGTACAATAACTTCAAGAACTGGGCAGGGACTGAGTTGTAGTACTCCAGCTGCAAGAACTGAGGTAAATGGTGGCACTGAGAGGAATTGTGCTCCCAAAATAATCGTGAAAATTATTTTCTGATATTGAATATTTTGAGTTGTTTCCTGAATACTTAAGTTATGCAAACAGATGTTTTTCTTAGGATGAAAATAACAAATAAAAGAAGTGGGTATGTTAAATAATACACATGGGCACCTTCTTTTGAGCTACCTGAGAATTAGAGTTCAAACTGTATAAATGTATTTAAATGGTTTATTAAAATGTGAAAATCAACGAAGTCAGTTTTCCAGATGGACGTTGGCAAGTCTTTAGGTCCAAGTCTGAGTCTTTGGGCCCAAGTCTCAAGCCTCAAGTCTGAGTCACAAGTCCCTACCTGTGGAATTCTGGGAGTTGTCCCCAATCCCCCCCCCAAGTAAGGTCCCCTGCTGCTGCTGCACCCGCTTTCTCCCTGGCCATTCCAGTGGCAACATCACCATCCACCTCGCCTTACCGTCCAAGTCCTCCTCCATGCTGGCCCCATTGCTGCTCCCCACTGTGGCCAGGCAGGAACCAACACTAGTGGTGGCGCTGGCAACAGCAGATGCCATTTTGGTCTTTTGTCTCCCTCCACAGGTGCTGTAGAGGCTTCCTAACCTGTGGCAGTGTGCATGTATCCAGGCGTGGGGCCCTTGCTCAAGAGCTAGGAAGGGCTCTGTAGCAGAGAGGGAGACCGTGGGAGTCCATCTCTCCATGTCCTCCCTAGCACCTTCCCCCACAAATTGTGTTTATTGATCACCAAGGAAGAACAGAGAGGGAGATTGCATGGCCTAGAGACTTGAAAACATGACTCAGAAAAATGGGTGCTACGGAAGAATGGAGAGGGAGATTGCATGGGCTAGGGACTCGAAAACATGACTCAGAAAAATGGGTCCAAGTCGTGAGTCTAATCTGAGTCTTTTTTTAAAAAACAACACCAAGTTGAGTCATTAATGTTACTTAAGTCGGACTCAACAGCAAGTTGCGAGTCCTCATCCTTGCTTCAATATCTCTGCTGCTGACCAGTAGCAACAGCAGCAGAGAAAGGAAAACTGTTACAGTGTCTTCAAAGGATGGTGTGAATACACAGATACTTCTCTTGACAGTTAATGGCTAAAATCCTGTTCCATATGTATGCTAGCAGAAAGTAAGTAGTGTAACTTGCAACAGCTAATTGCTGTCAATTAATGAATCTCTGCTTGGATTCTTGGTTGCATGCCAAGCCAGCCAACTGGCACATGAGGAACTCAAACAGGGACAAATTAGTTATGCTATTTTCTTTTTGGTGACATAATAATGAGACAGGATTTTGGCCAATATATTCCATTGGGGAGATTGCTAAGAAGTGAAAAATCTTGAGCCATTTCTTTTTCTATACCCCAACAAGAGCTATTTGGTCACACTGAGAAGATTTAGTAAACTCTCTCCTACTCTTGATGAGATGTGATGTGATGTGATAAAGCAGAGCTCTCATATTATGGCTGAAATCCTGTTGTTCATCAGTAAGTCATATTAGAGTAGGTCAAATAAATGAGGATTTAGTAAGTCAACTTTTCCGTTGATTCAAATGAACCTACTCTAGAGCAACTTAATACACTGAGCAATATGATTTCAGGCAATGAGTACTAGTTCAGGTTGCCACTTGTAGGCATCTATTTATTTATTTATTTTATTTTATTTTATTTATATCCTGCCTAAGAGCACATGCTGGTCTTTGCTACTAAGAGTTGCATCCCTTCTTCTAAGAAGACCAGTCTATCTAACCCTATGGGCCAGAGGAGATTTCCATCTCTAGTGCTTGCTTTTCTCTTCCCCTCCACTTTCTTTTCCCTTTGTCATTGTATCTTTAGATTCCCATTGCTTACAGCATTTTAGATACTTTAGAAGAGTTAAATAATGAAAATGATAATGTCACTTTTTTGAAACCTTAGAATCTGTTACTGGATATTTTTTAAGATTATGTCCAGTATCAGATTTTTTTATAAAATGCATTTTTACATTCAAAATTATTTTACCTACACAGAGTGGATTAACTAGTTAATTAATGAAAACTCATATGATTAATCACTTTGTTTAATAGAGTCACAACCTCAATTAAAATATCTGAGATCCAGAAACTAATTTATTTCTGCAAGAGAACAAAATTAAAGGTACAATGAATGTTCCTTTCTTCTTTCAATAACTGTAGCCTTTTTATCATTTTATTTAAAATTGTGACAGCATTATAACAAGGAAATCATTATAAGGTGGAGAAATCACATCTTCAGAGAAAGCAGAACTGAGTGAAGGAAAATTATTTGGTTTTATCAGACACACAGCATCTTTCACAATAAGAATGAATTTAAACATCAGTAAGATAGTGGTACTACTATAGATGTTATAATTTCAAAGGAAGCCTAAAGTAACTCTTGTGTCTCTTCAAATGGTTTGCTGTAAAGGGAAGTTATGACAGTGGTCAGCTGTGATTCAACCATGCTGGATATGGCTGAATGTTCTTAGAGATTTCAGATGCATTTGACTGGATTTTCTTCCAGCTTCTTTGCAGGAGGAGGCCTCTGTAATGTCTTTTTCCAATAGACCTTCTCAAGGAAGTTCTGAAGAATTTCTTTTTCTGCACAGACAAATGAAAGGAGAATATTACTAAGCTTGAATATACAGAGGAAAGTACTGGTAACTCCTATATCTCACATTTGAACAGGAAATGGATGGATTGTGAAAGGGCCATACTAAAACATGGGTGCTCGCTGGTTTTAAATTGTAATAAACAGGCTGCAGTCCTACTGCACGTGGTGTAGCATAAAATTATATCTGCAGAAGTGCAAGAGAGTTACACACAAGTAGTCTGCATGGTAAGCCTGACTGTGCAATTAACTGTGAAATTACCATGTTTTCCCCAAAATAAGACAGGGTCTTATATTAATTTTTGCTCCAAAAACGCATTAGGGCTTATTTTCAGGGGATGTTTTATTTTACAGTCATGTCATATTCTGGTTGCTGCACAATGCTGCACAATGGAGGGTGGGGTTTCAGTAAGTCAACTTCTCCATTGATTCAAATGAACCTACTCTAGAGCAACTTACTACACTGAGCAACAGTGTAGTATTTTTGGGGTAGGGCTTACATTATGCAGGGACGTGGTGGCGCTGTGGGCTAAACCGCAGAAGCCTGTGCTGCAGGGTCAGAAGACCAGCAGTCGTAAGATCAAATCCATGTGACGGAGTGAGCTCCCGTCACTTTGTCCCAGCTCCTTGCCAACCTAGCAGTTCGAAAGCATGTAAATATGAGTAGATAAATAGGTACCATCTTGGTGGGAAGGTAAAACAGCGTTCCCTAGTCACGCTGTCCATGTGACAGCGGAAACTTGCCTTCGGACAAGCGCTGGCTCTACGGCTTGAAAAGTGGGATGAGCACCGCCCCCTAGAGTAGGAAACACGACTAGACTAAAAATGTCAAGGGGAACCTTTACCTTATGAGCATTCTGAAAAATCATACTAGGGCTTATTTTCAGGTTAGGTCTTATTTTTGGGGGAACAGAGTAGATGCCCAACCGTTCCTGTAGAATTGATTGCTGGATATAATTTCAGACTGAGAGGGAATTTTGCAGCTGCTTGCACAACTTTGTGTTACATAGGTATAGTTACACAACAGGATTATTAATTTAATAATACATTGAAAATAGCTGAGATGAAGTTGCTATGACCAGGATCCAGGAGAAGTTTTAACTCTTTCCTCCCCACTGTGCTGCTCACACATAATCACTCCTCTACAGCTGCTACTGGCATCAATGAGAATTTACCTCTGAATCTCAGTAGATCCAGACTGCAGAGACTGGAGACTCTGATGTCAGTTGGCTGATAAATCTGCTCCTGGTCTGAACTTTAAAGGAACTTTCCAAGATGCTGAATCTATCTTGGAGACAAAGCTCAGCATCCTGGACAGCTTGTGTAATAATCTGGATTAAAAACAAGAGCTGACTGATGACTCCACTGACATCAGAGCCACTAGCTTCCACTGGTTTCAGAGGATCAGTGTTAATATTAAACAAAATCACAGGAGGGAAGGAAGGTCTTAAAAGTTCCCTCCCTATAATTTTCACCTGTTCTAACACCAAAGCTCATCATTCTCCTTAGCAGCAGCTATTTCTGTTTTTCAAAATCTGCGTGTTGCATGGGCACATCTTGTTCATCCCATTCTTCGTTATGGCTGTTTTATAAACCTTTCGAGCCTCCATAATAGCCACTCAAGGCTTCTAACAAGAACAATCCCATGTCAATGCCCATGCCACAGAACGACTGTGTGGCAATGCTATGTGTGAAAGCCCATGTCACAAAAGGGACCTTATCTCCACTCTCTGGAGCCTCTTGGCCTTGCTGCTGTCATTTTTGCTATTGCTGCTGCTTATCTGCCAGCACCCTTAGCGTCCACAAATTCATCATGCCTTGTTATTCCCCAGGTCCTGTTTAGTAAAAGGAGCAGGGCAGGAGGCAACAACCGTGAACACAATTTCATCAGCACTGATCACTACCTACATTTTTCCGGGAAAATCCTTGTGGGCCTCTTATGACAAACACCTGGAAAACAAAACATAGGATTGCAACATTTCCCTCCTTGATAGAGACTTTATGCCTTAGCCCAAGGATGGAGAACCTGTAGCTCCACTCTGAATCTTGCTGGACGCCAGCTTCCATCAGCCCCAGCCAGCATGGCTAATGGTCTGGGAGGATGGGAATTGTAATCAAGCAACATCTGGAAATTCTCAGGTTGTCCACCCCTGCAGTTGCATGACATGTAGACATTCAAAAGGTGCAGTTTGCCATGCTGGGGGGAAATGCAGCCTGCTGAATTTCTACCATGCAACCATTAAAGGCACAGAGTCAGTTTTATGAAAAGAGAGAGAAGAGACAATCACAACCAACGTGGAACAGAGAAGAAAAACAGAACCTTGCAATGTCTAAGAAAAAGAATCTACAAGAATAGCAAGCATTTTTACAAAAGGGGTCGGAGAGAGGCTACCTCAGTAGTTCTGCACACAGTCACCAAAAAGCAAAGACAATTCAGCTACTGTATCAAACTCAACAGGAGGTAATGGGATGCCTGGTGTGGTTTTGTTGCAAAGAAGATCTGGACCTAGTCAGCCACCTGGATGGGAACAACTAGGACATCATTCCAATGATCACCTCACATTCTTTTTCTGATTAAAATCTCTGAATGCTACCACTTATCTATCAAAACAGCAACAGCCACTCAAGAGGGAGATAACACCAGGGTTTCTAGAAATACCTTTAGAGGGGGAAGTTCGATAAACAGTCTAGTGAGTCAGAGAACAGCTTATGTCACAGAATGCTGAGTGTTGAAGAAAGAAAGAAAGAAAGAAAGATCCAGGGTTTCTAGAAATACTTTTAGAGGGGGAAGTTCGGTAAACAGTCTAGTTGTGAGTCAGAGAACAGCTTATGCCACAGGATGCTAAGTGTTGAAGAAAGAAAGAAAGAATTAAGTGACTTTTAAAGGAGAGTGGAGGAAAAGGCACATAAAGGTACCTTCCCATTCATTCACTCTTTTGACAGCTCTCACCATCTGCTCAATCATTATTGCTAGCCAACACTCAACCCACTCTTTCAGCAACCAGTGTCCATCTATTCTCTCACTTTCACTAGCTAATCCTCACTCATTCACTCCCTCTTGGCCAGCCTGCCTCCTCCTATTCTCTCACACTTATTAGCCAGTATGTGTTCATTCACTCACTTTAACCAGCCAGTGCTTCACCTAATCACTTGCTCTTGCTATCCACAGTTGGTCATTCATTTGCTCTCACTCATTCACTCTCACTAGCCAGCACTCATCAGTTCACACATTCGTTACCCAGTGCCCTCCTGTTCATTAACTTTAATACCAGATGGAAACACATATCACACATTGTCTGTATTTCCCATCTTCACCCAATGCTGCTGGCACTTATGTGGCCAATTAAAGTCCCTTAAGTAGGGGGCATGAACCTGGGGTTAGTAATGATGTCTGAACTCAGTTTCAAGAGGCCTTGAGACCAACTTCATCCAATCCAGAGCAGCAATTACACCATCATTTGGAGTACTATCCATGCACAAGAGAAAGGTACAAGTAGACACATAAGAAACCCAAGGTTTGCAGGGTTTAAAAGATAGATCTTGGGTGGAGGGAGCTACAAAACAGCTTTTGGAGTACTACCCATGCACAAGAGAAAGGTACAAGTAGACACATAAGAAACCCAAGGTTTGCAGGGTTTAAAAGATAGATCTTGGGTGGAGGGAGCTACAAAACAGCTTTCCCAGTGAATGAAGACTATATTCAGCAACCACATGCTGCTGCTTATTGCGGTGAGGGGTGGGAGGACAGAGAAGGAAACAGAATGGGCTATCTTGGAAAATAACGATGGCGGAAAAGACGCAGATTTTAAAAAGGAGTAGAGTGAACTCTGGTTGTCTGGAGAGGCCTTTTTCTAGTTCTACTGAGGCCAACAAGGTTGTTTTCAACAATACAGCAATGTTTGCTTCTGCCTCTGCAGTTCCCTCTGGACTGACATCTACAACATCTCAGCAGTACAGTTTACAGCAGCAATATAGTGTAGTCCATTATTAATACTGCAGACCACAAGAAGAGCTGAAGTTGGTTTGGATGGAAGAGCTGAAGTTGGTTTGGATGCTCCCATACGTCTTATGGTGCAGAAAAGGTCAGGTTACCAATGTTGTTTGGAGGTAGCATCTCAACACAAGTAGACACATAAAAAACCCAAGATTTGCAGGGTTTAAAAGATAAATCTTGGGTGGAGGGAGCTACAAAACAGCTTTCCCAGTGAATGAATGAAGACTATATTCAGCAACCACATGCTGCTGCTTATTGGGTGGGAGGAAAGAGAAGGAAACAGAATGGGCTATCCTGGAAAATAACGATGGTGGGAAAGACATAGATTTTAAAAAGGAGTAGAGTGAACTCTGGTTGTCTGGAGAGGCCTTTTTCTAGTTCTACTGAGGCCAACAAGGTTGTTTTCAACAATACAGCAATGTTTGCTTCTGCCTCTGCAGTTCCCTCTGGACTGACATCTACAACATCTCAGCAGTACAGTTTACAGCAGCAATATAGTGTAGTCCATTATTAATACTGCAGACCACAAGAAGAGCTGAAGTTGGTTTGGATGGAAGAGCTGAAGTTGGTTTGGATGCTCCCATACGTCTTATGGTGCAGAAAAGGTCAGGTTACCAATGTTGTTTGGAGGTAGCATCTCAACAATATCATGCACTATTTTTCAGATTTATGGATGGGTGGGTGGGTGTCGAGAGTTAATGTGAAGATTCATGTTTTAAATGTTTTAAATTATAAAGCAGTAGTTATGTATTCAAAAGCCTTTGACTGTGTGGACCACAACAAACTATGGCAGGTTCTTAAAGAAATGGAAGTTCCTGACCACCTTATCTACCTCCTGAGAAATCTATATGTGGGACAGGAAGCAACAGGTAGAACTGGATATGGAACAACTAATTGGTTCAAAATTGGGAAAGGAGTACGACAAGTCTGTATATTGTTCCCCCGGCTTATTTAACTTATATGCCAAATATATCCTGGGAAAGGCTGGACTGGATGAATCCTAAACCGGAATTAAGATTGCCGGAAGAAATATCAACAAACTCAAATATGCAGATGATACCAGTTTGGTGGCAGAAAGTGAGGAGGAATTAAAGAACTTCTTAATGAGGGTGAAAGAGAGAGTGCCAAAAATGGTCTGAAGCTCAACATAAAAAAAACTAAGATCATGGCCACTAGACCCATCACCTCCTGGCAAATAGAAGGGGAAGATATGGAGACAGATTTTACTTTCTTGGGCTACATGATCTGCAGATGGTGACAGCAGCCACCAAATTAAAAGACGCCTGCTTTTTGGGAGGAAAGCGATGACAAACCTAGACAGCTTCTTAAAAAGCAGAGACAGCACCTTGCCAACAAAGATCTGCATAGTCAAAGCTATGGTTTTTCTAGTGGTGATGTATGGAAGTAAGAGCTGGACCATAAAGAAGGCTGACCATCAAAGAATTGATGCTTTTGAATTGTGGTGCTGGAGGAGGCTCTTGAGAGTCCCCTGGACTGCAAGGAGAACAAACCTATAAAATATTCAGAGATATAATGAAAAATATTCAACTTATGTTGTCCTACAATCTTCCTTGTTTGTTGGTTTTCTTTCCCAACCCTCAACCTACCTGGCTGTGGAGATTTGTCCACATATGCTTTAATTTCACCTGGGTCTAGACAATTCAAAACTGATATGATTTCTTGATAATCTTTCCCAAAATCTCTTTGGTACGTGGACATCTGTTTAGTGCGTTCGTGATTCCAGATTTGAGCCAGTGTCACTGAAGGAACTGTGAAGGCAAGCCAGTAAAAGACATATGAAAATGAGACATAATGAAGTCAAGCACAAGTCATTGGTTGTCTTTCTTTTCTTTGCCACTTATATTCTTCCCTTGCAGTGGTCTGGCTCACAAGTCCTCAAAGTGGTGCCTGCAGAGATAGAGCATGTTATCAGTGGACCCACAGTTGACATTGCTACCTTGCTTTGTGCAATTGCCACTCCTGTACCAATGCAGTTATTGGGAAACTTAAGCTTCTAACTACCCAAGAACATTTTTAAAAAGCCCTGCTGGATCAGGCCAAGGACCCATCTAGTCCAGCTTCCTGTATCTCACAGTGGCCCCACCAAATGCCTTTGGCAGCACACAAGACAATTAGATACCTGTCTCCTGATACCCCTCCCCTGCATCTGGTATTTGGAGGTACCTTCATTTTAAGCCTGGAGATTATACATCCCCATCATGGTTTATAACCTGTGATGGACTTTTTCTCTAGAAATCTGTCCAATGCCCTTTCAAAGGCATCTAGGCCAGATGCCATCACCATATCCTATGGCAAGGAGTTCCACAGAATAACAACACGGTGGGTAAAGAAATTTTTTTTGTCTCTTCTCACTCTCCCAATACTACATTGGTGTGAATGTCCCCTGGTTCTAGTACTGCGTGAGAGGGAAAAGAACTTCCCTCTATCCACTTTATCCATCCCCATCATAATTTTATATGTCATAATCATGTCCCCCATCAGGTGCTTTTTCTCTACACTAAAGAGCCCCAAATGCTGTAGCCTTTCCTCTTAAGGGAGGTGCCCGAGCCCAGTCATCATTTTAGCTGCACTCTTCTGCACATTTTCCAGTTCTGCTATGTCTTTTTTGAAGTGCGGCAACCAGAACTGCATGCAATATTCCAGGTGTGGCTTTAGCAGCGTTTTGTACAATGGCATTATAATGTTGGCTGTTTTATTTTTAATCCACTTTTTAAGGATCCCTAGCATAGAATTGGCCATTTTCACTTATGCTACACACTGGGTTAACACTTTCATCAAGCTGTCCACCAGCACACAAAGATCTGTTTCCTGATCCGTCATGGACAGCTCAGAAGCCATCAGCTGATAAATAAAGTTTTGAATTTTTTGCCCCAATGTACTTTACATTTTCTTCTATTGAAATGCATTTGCCATTTTGCCACCCATTCTCTCAGTTTGGAGAGATCCTTCTGGAGCTCTTCACAATCCTTCCTTGTCTTCACCACCAGGAAAGGTTTTGTGTAATCTGCAAACGTGGCCACCTCACTGCTTATCCCTGTCTCCAGGTCATTTATGAACTAGATGATAAAGGTACCATACCATAAGAAGTTCCTTTAAAATGTTGAAAGACTCCTGATTGTCATAATTCAGGTTTTTCTCACCTCCCACAGCTTGCAAATTAGCCTGTTCTGTGTGGGATTTGTCATCAAGAAGTAAACATAGGCTTTATCTGGCATACAAAAAGCTCAAAGGTTATTTATTATTATTATTATTATTATTA